AATGATGTCTGCAAAATTGTTGCAAACAATTTAGATGTTGAATTTAAACAAACAAATTTAATATGTGTGATGTCTAACTTAATTTGTTTGTTTAAATTCAGCCCAAATGAATTGTTTACAACCACTTAAAAAATTAGTAAATCCAAAGAATCAACTTTTGAATCTTTTTTCCAAGCGTAGTTAGTCAATGCAAATCACAGCATGAATGGCCACGTATATTAAAACTGATGCTTTTTTATGATCAACAATAGTGAGCAATGAAAAACTGTAAAGAATTTGTCTGAAACGACAATGGTGTTAAATAGAGGAGAGATAATGTACTTTGTCGTTGTGTCTACCAAGTGTTATTACTAATAAAAAAGAGGTCAGCAGTGGAGGAGCCCACAGCACTGTAAAAAGTAATATTGCCAAAGAAATATATATACAGTAAGAGTAAAAAAGTGAAATACAAAAAAATTGGGAAAAAAGGATCAGCTTCCACAAGCAGAGCAAGTCTGTGACTGGTTAATTCTAGTAAACATTAAAGTGAAATGAGTATTGTCAAGGCTACTAACAATTTGTCCTCTGCATTTGACTGATGAGTGAGGTGTGAGAACACACATAATCACACAAATGCACATCAAATATTTAAGGGTTTAGAGTACCACAATTATGAAAATCAACATTATAAACTTTAGGTTTTAAGTCCAACTGCCTAACCAATAATCCATACACGTACATGTATAACCATTCACTTGAATTGTTAGTTTAAACATTTAAAATGAGAAGTCAAGGTAATTCCAAATAATTGTGTAACTTGATTTTATCATGTTATTTCAGTTATTTTAAGTTTTCTCTATTTATTAAACTTTTCTTGGGGTTTGTGTATGGCATAATTCATTGAATTGAACTAAATTTTTATTTGACATATTTTAGACAAGCTGTACAAAAATACAAGTATCCCATACATTTTGAAATAAAAACTGTTGAGGATAAAAACACAATAAAGCCCTGGGCTTGTTTCCATTGTTTTGTTTAACAGCGAGGACCACAAAGTATGGCTTCAAAATACAGTTGATACATAAAACAAACAGTACCCTCACATTTTACTACAGGAACAAAATAATTCACAAATACATTTATTCCTTCATTCATTCATTTTCTTTTCAGCTTAGTGCCTCTTTTAATCAGGGGTCGCCACAGTGGAATGAGCCGACAACTATTCCAGCATACAGTATGTTTTACGCAGCAGATGCATCCAGCCCTAACCCTATTCACAATACAATAACATAAAAATAAAATATCATCATCCACCATGCAAACTAATCATCCTCATCAAACAACCACCTTTTGATTGCTTTTTGGAATCATTAATGAGTCATTGAATCATTATCTTTCTTTTATTTTATCATTATCAGCTGAGTCATTAATCTTGTTTATTAAACTGATGCGCTTTTGTGTTTGTTGCATGCAACAGAGGCTCTATCCCAAAACGTATATACATTTCTGGAGAGCGCCAAATATGTCCTAGGAGCTACTCTTTTTTTTTTTTTTGCAGTTTGCAGTTTTTTTGCAGTTTGTTTTCGTAAATCCACCATATGCTGTGTAAGCTTTTTTAGATTTCAAATTTCCCCTTTACGAGTGCCATTTGCACCTGTTTTCGCATAAATCCAAAAGAGACCGCTGTTGACTGACTGACTGACTGATCCACTGACCACCCTCGTCCTTCCATAATCCCAATAGTGTTTTCAAAAGCAGCGACTGACCTGCCCACCCACTTCCCTAAACTCAACCAGTTTTCAAATGCCCTTGGCTGATTTTGTCCACTTTTTCAGATTTGACCACATTCTCATTGTTATTTACTTGTTTGTTTTTAAATTATTTTTTTTGGCTTCTGTTTTATCTTACCTGCTTTCTGGAACCGTTCTTCTCCAACTACTTTTGCCGCTTTTGCCGCCTCAAGTCCGCTGACATACATGGCGAGCTACAGGGCAAACTGGTAACAACTGGAAAGCCATCCATACTAAGGTAAGCGATCAGCTGGTAAGCTCAAAAAGAAACAGCATCAAACCAACTTGTACCGGTAATTTAAATAACGAAATGCAGCCATACATACTTCGCTACATAATTTGCGATCTCCAGAATTGTATATAGGGCTATGTTTTCAAAATTAACCTATGCTTTTTTCCTGGTGAACTGAAGTGAGTACTAGTGCTGATAGAATCATGAATGCAAAGTTATGAACAAAACAAATTGTTCATTGTCAGGACATACGTTAAATAATACATAGCATTTGTGTTTGTTTTTCACCAAACCCTATTATATAACCCCAGAAGACATGGTCATATTCAAAATGTGCATTTTGCTGTCATTCTTTGATACTTTTGTGTCATTTTAAAAAGGTTAACGCTAGTCATTATTCTCTCTTGATAAAGGTTACCAGGGCATTTATTAAAATGTCTTTGTTTGTGGTTGGAAAAGAAAAAGAAAAAAGGGCATAAAGATCTGAAACAACCCTAGAGTGAGTAAATAATAAATGAATTTTCAGTTTTGTGTGGACTCGCAAATATTTCAGCGTAAAGCATGACTGAAGATCAGCGGGTGTAAAAATACACAAATATTTTAGTCTTCACACGAGACTGAAAGCACACGTGTCTCTAGCTCTAGTTCTTTTTCTTTTCTATTACTTAGAAACAAATCCCAAAATGGATTTATTTTTTCTTAGTTCTATGTTATTAAGACTTTGGAAACAAATCCCTGCAAAAATATCTAGATTGCATCAGCACAGTTCTTACTTGATCCATGAAAAGAGACATTTTCTGATGTCTTGCTAGTTCTCCCATTTAAGGCTTCCATACAGATGAGACAGCGGGTGTTTAGTAACACATCAGTAACACAATATCAATGCGCTCTACTGACTATGTTACAGATGGTAAAAAAAAGGGAACAGGCTGCTGCCATAGTGCCAACCAATTTCACACAAGCACCCTTCATTTAACAGTAGTCAAAAATGATCCTAGAGAAAATGTTTTGAAACAAATGCTGTCAATCTGCTTTACATTACATAACGATTCCTGTGGCGGTAATTGCAGAGAAGCGTGGACATTTGAAACAATTGCACATTGAGAAAAAAAGATGGTAAAAAAAAATATATATATATACTCATCAGATGTGCATTTGTTTGGTGGCAATGCAATTTAAAGGGATAGTTCACCTGAAAATGACCTCATCATTTACTTTCCCTCATGTGCTTATAAAGAGTTTCTTTCTTCTGTTGACCACAAAGGAAGTAAATTCTAAGAATGCTGGTTGTCGAGACTCACTGACTTTCATAGAAAGAAAAATAAAATGACTATATAAGTCAGTGGTTGCCAGCTACCAGCATTTTCCCAAACAGAAAAAGAAACTCAAAAAGGTTTCAAACAAGGGAGTAAAAAATGGTGAAATGAATTTTCTTGATAAACTATCCCTTTAATTGCCACAAAAAGCAATGCATGCTATCAATTATTAAAAAGTAAATAGTTACAAACTTCTTATAAAAGAATTGTGGCACCAAGGAAAGACACCAGTGATAGAGGATCTATATTTAATCACAATAGCCTCTTACAATAGCACCGCAGGTTTCATCAGGTCAAATTTAAAACTTTTTAAGACCCTTTTAAGAGCATAAAGAATGAAATTTTAGACTTTTACAGGGTTAAGACTTTTTCTAATGGCTCAGTATTATTATGAGGAATCGTGTAATTGCTTGAAGTTTATTTTTCCCTGATTAGAAAATTTAATTTGAGGTATTTGCTGTAAAAATGTCTTACAGCTGTTGTCAATTGTATCTCTTTGCTATACAAAACTTATATAAATAAAAAATAGGGATTTATTGAGATGTGTTGTTGGTCATTAGATGGATATTAGCCCAAAATGAATAGCTTTATTTGGAGAAAGAAAAAGTAAGACCTGTTTAAAACTATCTAAGACCTACAACACAATGTCCCAGTTTCACAAACAGGGCTTAGATTAAGCCAGGACTAGGCCTTAGTTAAATAAGTCTATTTAAGCCAAATTTTTAAAAATGGCCTTAGAATAATATATTACTGGTGTGCACCTGGAGAACAATAATGACACTGATGTATTTTAAGACATCTCACTGAAAGTTATTTTGAGTTGAGACAGTTTAAACATGCAATTTAATCTTGACTAGCCTTAAACCTTGTTTGTGAAACTGGGGGAATATGTCAGTAAATTTAAGCTTTTGTAAGTCCTAGACAATTTAAGACATTTTAGGAGCCAGCGGACACATCTTTTAATCTCCCTCATGTGCTTTTAAAGAGTTTCTTTGTTCCGTTGACCACAAAGGAAGTCATTTAAAAAAATGCTGGTTGCCAAGACCCATTGATTTGCACAGTAAAAAAATGATTATAAAAATCAATGGTTGCCAGCTACTGCTATTTTTCAAAATATCTTGTTTTGTATTCAACAGAAAAAAATAGTTAAATGATAAGTCAAATGATGGTGAAATCTTGTGGATGAACTATCCCTTTAATTACCACACAAAGCAAAGCATGCTATCAAATAGACTAGATTGTAACAAACTACTGATGAAGGAATTGTTGTACAATGGAAAGACACCAGTGATAATGGATCTAACACAATAGTCTTTCAAAATAACACATTATGGATTAAAAAATCCTATACGTTATGTCAAGCTATATAATGAGAAACACTTACAAACATATTCACAGCAACAGCAATATTCTGAAACTCTCAAGGTAACAATAAAGCTCTTTAAAGACAAATGCTTTTCATTTATTCATTCATTCGTAGTCCCTTTATTCATCACAGCGGAATTAACCGCTAACTATCCAGCATATGTTATACATAGCGGAAACGGAAAATGGAGCACCACAAGGAAGTCCACGCAAACATGGGGAGAACATGCAAACTTCACACAGAAACGCCAACTGACCCAGCCAATGTACATTTCTGCTGTAAGAAAGCCAAGCTAAATGAGCGTTATTAGTTCTTACCTGTGAGTAAAGCATGGTAATGAAGACCCCGCTCTTTATCCCGATGAGAACACACATCAAACAAATAGGCTTTAATGGGTCCGTCAATGAAGTCTGCGGCAAAGTCAAACAAAACCACTCCAAACATCACCACCACGATGGCCCATGTCCTTTTTAAATTTCTGTCTGATATTATGGCTGCGGGTGAAAAACACAACGTCATGCTTAGTTCAGTAAATCCACTCAATGTTAATAAATACTTTAGTATACAACTTTAAGAAACATCAAGACTGAAAATTCTCTCTACTTGTAGCTCACCAGTTTGATTTTTTCCTCAAATGAATACAAAAGATTGTATTTTGATTATTGGTGGAAAATGGTTGCCATTGACTTCCATATGGATTTTTTATTACAATGGATACAATGGTTACCGGATTACATTCATTCATTAATTTTCTTTTCGGCTTAGTCCCTTTATTAATCCGGGGTCACCACAGCGGAACGAACTGCCAACTTATCCAGCAAGTTTTTACGCAGTGGATGCCCTTCCAGCCGCAACCCATCTCTGGGAAACATCCACACAGACATTCACACACACACTCATACACTATGGACAATTTAGCCTACCCAATTCACCTGTACCACATGTCTTTGGACTGTGGGGAAAACCGGAGCACCCGGAGGAAACCCTCGCAAGCAGGGAGAACATGCAAACTCAACACAGAAACGCCAACTGAGCCGAGGTTCGAACCAGCGACCCAGCGACCTTCTTGCTGTGAGGCGCCACTGCCTCACCTACCAGATTACAACATTCTTCAAAATATCTTCTGTTTAACAGAAAAAAAATACATAGAAACTCGTACAAGTTTAGAGCCACGAGGGTGATTAAAACAGAGTAAATAACATTTTTTGAGTGAACTACACTTATAAAGTGAAGCCATTTACTAAATCAGACCAGCTCTGAAGTGCTATGACAGCTGAGTTAATGAAAAAGTAATGAAAGTGTTTTCAAAACTGAATCAAAAGCGCTCAGACTAATTGATTAAAATTCTAGAATTATAGTAATAAATGGGAAATATATTCGGAACAGAAAATCAACAGGCTCATCTGCTGTGTTAAATTAAGTGTCCAGCTGTGTTATTTCCCTGTGTCTAATGCCACAACTACATTTTAAAGCTGATTTTTTTTGGACATTTCAAAAATGTATGTGATATCATTTATAACAGTAAGAAGAACAAGCATCTTTTTTTGTACTCCTCTGTAGTTCTGATATACATTTCTCTTTTCTGTTTGTTCCGGTCATCATTTTCTTTAAAACAAACAGTCAAGTAAAAGAACAAAATCTCACGTCAAAATATTTACCTAAAACGTTAAAAAAAGTTTATTTTTTAAGCCTTGTTGCACTGCAAAAAAAAAAATCACTTAGTATTATTCATATCCAATTTATCTTAAATCAGATGTAAAAAGCTAACAAGATAATTAGATAAGTCTTGTTTTCTGAAAACTGATTATGATTAAGATTTAATTAACTTAAAATGAAGGGGGAAATGTGCTAGTGGTAAAAGAAAAATGAACTGGTCTTCCCCTAAATTCAATTTAGCTTTATAATCTTATAATCAGATATTATTCAATAGTTTTACACAAACACACTTAATTTTGCTACATTTATCATGAAAACAAATTTAATTGAATTTGTTTCATAGGTAAATGTTTCATAATTCATCATTTAGTCTTTATATACAGTATTTGCAGCGAAAACAATAAAATAACTCCAGGCTTCCCACTCTAAGCCAAATATCAAGTTCCTAAATCCTATAACTTATATTATCCTGAAATGTCAGCCTTAAATAACAAGTCATTGCCAATTGATGAGCATGAAAGGAATAAAATTGAGCAGAAGAATAGTCTAAGCATTACAAACAACGCTTTAAAAATTATATATTTTTATATGATGTGATCAAGCATTTGCAGTTTCTGCTCCTAAACTCTTGGAACACTCTACCAATTCACATTAGACTTTCCTCCTCCATTTCTGTGTTTAAGTCCATTTTAAAACCCTATCTATTTTCTCTCTTTTTCAATGCTCCTCAATCACTGCTTTATTGCTTTTATTTGTTAAATGTTTCTTTTATATTCTGCTTTCTTCTCTGCCTTTAGTACTCCAATGTACAGCAAATGTTGGTTGTGTTTAAATGTGCTTTATTAACAAATACTGTATTGTAAATATATATCCAGTTAAAGTCAGAATTATTAGCCGTTCTTTCAATTTTTTTCTTTTTTAAATATTTCCCAAATTATGTTTAACAGGGCAAGGAAATTTTCACAGTATGTCTGATAATATTTTTTCTTCTGGAGAAAGTCTTATTTGTTTTATTTCGGCTAGAATAAAAGCGTTTTTTTTTATTTTTTAAACATCATTATAAGGACAAAATTATTAGCCCCTTTAAGCTATTTTTGTCTTCAATAGTTTACAGAACAAACCATCATTATGTAATGTGTATACAATAACTTAACCTAATTAGATTAACCTGCCTAGTAAACCGAATTAACCTGGTTAAGCCATTAAATGTCACGTTAAGCTGTATAGAAGTGTTTTTAAAAATATCTAGTGAAATAATATTTACTGTCATCATGGAAAAGATAAAAATAAAAATAATTTAGTTAGAAATGAGTTATTAAAACTATTATGTAAATCTTCGCTCTGTTTAACAGAAATTAGGGGAAAAATAAACTGGGGGGCTAATAATTCTGACTTCAACTGTAAGTGAAAAACAGAAATCCCTGATATTCCATGACTTGGACCGAAAATAATTAAATAAAAAAATCTGACTTTCACTGTTTGGAAAAGAGCTTTTAAAACCCTTGATATTCCAGAAATACCATGACCTGTGTGGACCCTGAAACTCATCTACTTCCTTTGTGTATTTAGTGCTTTGTCTTCAAAATGAAGTAAAATCTATCAAGTTTACTTGACCTTCACCCACCTGTTGTGACTGCATCTCCATTTAGAAATAAAGTCATGCCCACTAACATCAGAATCCCCAGTAAGAGTATGTACGGTCTCCTTCGGCCCCATGACGACCTACAGTAGTCGCTCGCCGAGCCGATGACGGGCTGTAGGATAAAACCCAAAATGGGGCTTATGAGCCACACCAGACTGTACAGACGTCTGGGAAGTCCAACGCTCAGCAACACTGGCGTGACAAACGCAGCCTCAACAGCGTAGCAGAATTCCCTTCCAAACATGGCCGACCCGTGCATAATCAACCTTCCCCTAGAGCGCCTCGGAGGCTCCACCACTCCAAAAACAGCCGCTTCCATGTTGTCCAAACAGTCCTCTTTAAGCTCCGAGTCCACCTGGTACTGCTCCATGGATGCAATTGGGCTTTCCGGTGCAGAGAACCTGCAAGGCTGGTCCTCAGTAAGAAGAGTCATGGTTCTGGATGGTAAGACTCTTGATTCCTAGTGCATAGTTGAGCAGTGGATCTCAAGACTTGTGAGCTGAGAAGGCAAGGAGGTGGTGGTCTCCTTGGCCTCTGTTTTTGTAGCTCGGCTTGTAAGCATGTGACTGAGATTATGATCTGAAGATGCTTTTCTCTCCACTCCTGCTGGGAGTGGACAATAGGTTAAAAGTTAAGCGCAAGACGTCAACAATTCATAGTTCACATACTGGAAATGGTAGTTTGTTTGGGGGGGGAAATGGTAAAGATCTAACAAACATTCCTTTGTGGTGTTGCACACTTGGATTGGAAAATCAAGTGACGTACCATGTGATTGCTTTGCAGACGGCTTGAAAGGGGGCTGGAAAAAAGATGGCAACAAATTTATAGTAGAGTTAAAGCACACTGCCTCACGCAACGCTGCCTCTCCATTCACAAGACTGCTTGGGTTTACTCAAATCTGTCATGAGACGTCCGGCGAGTCTCTGTGAGAATCATGTGAGCTCCGCAGTGGTCATCATCTACTCTCTCTCTCAGACTTAATCTATAGACTCCAAGCTGTGGATCACAGGGAACCGGTCAGATGGTGCCACATGGATTAAAATGCTACATTCCACACATTTCTCCAAGTGAATGAGAATTATTTCAAGCTAGAGTAGTTAGGAAAAATGTTTATGTAACTCATTCCTAAGAGGATTTGTTCCAAGAACTTATCAGGATTGACAATGCTATCAAGAGAATACAGTATTGTTTGAAGGCAGATACAGTCATAATCTTTAATTACTGTATGACTGAGTCAATATGGTTTTATCACAATCTTCAAACGCTGGAAAATGATTCCTGATCTGTATTTGGTACAGTCTCTGTTCTCAATTTGGACGGTAGTTTCACACAAGAATGAAATAAATGGATCAAAATATTCTTTTGAACTTTTTCTCCTTCACCAAAGAACCATAATATGCATAGCAGTTTCCACATTATTAAATAACATCTGGCAGAAAATCTAATACATTTTTCTTGAGCAGCATATCAGAATGATTTCTAAAGGATTGTGCCACTGAACACTGGGGAAATTCACAAAAAAATGACCATGCTCCCAGAAATAAACTGCAGTTTAAAAAGCACTTGCTTTCTCTTTATTAGGTTCACTTATAACTTGGTAATCTAATCAGTCAATCACATGGACAGGGCAGAAACTCAATACATTCAGGCATGTAAAAGTAGTTCATACAATCTGCCGAAGCTCAAATCATACAGGGTGGGAAAGAAAGGTGATTTAAAGGGATAGTTGACCCAAAAATGAAAATTCTGTCACAATTTACCCACATGTGACTCTTGATTTTTATTTAATTTTTTATTTTTTTTTGCTATTGTTGTCATTCAGTTGAGCACAAAACAGGATGTATTAAAGAATGTTGGGAACCTGTAATCATTGACTTCCATAGTAAGAAAAATGTATAGAGTTGTGCATCGATGGATTTGCTTTTCAGTGTTTTGACTCTGAATATAAAACCACACTGAACTGAACTTAAACACTGAAAACTGAACAGACACTGTTTCAATACACTATAATGTTCTATGTGAAGCTGCTTTGACACAAGCTACATTGTAAAAGAGCTATAGAAATAAAGATGAATTTAATGGACATAGGTTAACTTCTTTTGCTTTGAACAAAATATAAAAAAAACTCAATGGCTTAGAACAAGTAAAGGGGAGTAACTGATGACAGAATTATTATTTTTATTTAATTTAACTTTTATTCCATTAATTTTAACCATCCCTTTAAGTGAAATTTAATGTGGCACAGTTGTTGTTGTTTTACAAATTGGTCCATGTTTCAAAATCTGCTGATCTAATGGGATTTTCACACAAAATAACCTCCATGGTTTACAGAAAATCACCCAAAAAGAAGAAAATATCCAGTGAGAGGGATTTCAGTATGTGAAATTCCCTATTGATGCAAAATGTACAGATAAAACTGTCAGACAGTCTCAAATTGAAAGGAAGACAAAAATAACTCACCTAACCATTTGTCACCACCAAAGACTGCAAAAGACCATCTTTGAAAACACAATACATTGAATTTTGAAGATAACAGAAAAGTGAAGCTAACAGAAAATTGTAGAAAGGTTGCCTTTTCTGATGAGTCTCAATTTCTGTTGTGACATTTGAATGCTAGAGACAAACTTGAGTATAAACAATGTGAACGTTTTCTCATTCATTTACTTCGCCTTAGTCTCTATTTCAGAGGTCACTACAGCAGAATGAACTACCCACTATTCCAGCATACAATTTATGCAGTTGATGCTCTTCTTGCTGTTAGGCGACAGGGCTAACCACTGAGCCACCGTGCTGCCAGAAAGTATTTTCTAACTTACATTAATACTTCAGGATGAAGGTGGTGTACATTATAAAAAAAACATAATATTAAGTTTTTTTTCCAGCACAGTGCTCATTTAGTAAAGGCACAGCTAAACAGATGTATTTTCAGTCTTGATTTGAATGTGCCTAATGTTGGAGCACATCTGATCATTCCTAGAAGACGATTCCAGCAGTGGGGGGTGTAGTACTGTAGCTAAAATCCGATTCACCCTGCTTTGACTGAACTCTTGGAATTTCTAGTTTACATCATCCTAAAGATCTGAGTGATCTGTTAGGTTTGTATTCAGTGAGTTTGTCTGTAATGTAGTGAGGTTCTAGGCCCTTTAGTGATTTATAGACAAGTAATACCACTTTAAAATCTATTCTGAATATAACTTGGAGCCAGCGTAAAGACCCGAGGACAGGTGTGATGGGCTCTGATTCCCTGGTTCTGGTCAGAATCCTGGCTGCAGCGTTCTGGATAAGCTGCATATGTCTGACTGTGTTTTTGGGAAGTCCAGTGAGGAGGCCGTTACAGTAATCCACCCTCCTGCTGATAAAAGCATGAACAAGTTTCTCTGAAGCCTGGTTTATACTCGATGCATTCGATAGTTTGCTTAAGCGCATGCAGCGAATGTGACGTCATCGCGGTGATAGCGGAAGTTTGCTTTGGGTGCGCGCAACATGATTTCAACTGGCAGTGTGCATGGCATTTTTTGAGACTGAGCGAACAGTGCTGCCTGGCGCCACAACTGATTTGAGATGAATATGAAACACTTTGAATAGATTTTGTCTGAAACAGTACCTCTGTACAGACATCTTTATGATCTGTGATCAGAGATAACGAGATGATCAATCATTTTTGGCTAGAAAATACAACAGCCCTGGGAAAGAAGGAAAGTTTTTGTTAAAAGGTTTGAAAAACCTGAGGTATGAGTATGTTAAAGCCAAAAGAGGCGATGGCAAAAGTGGAGACTCAGGTACACAATTACAGAATATGTTTTTCCACCAGTCATAGGTTTACACTGATGTATATAGTTACAATTTTGAATTTAAAACCATTTAATAGTTACAAAACTTTAAGGAACAAATTATTTTTTTTATAACAGGAAAGGGATATTTGAACCTATCAGTTTATAATATACTGATGTTTGTTTTTCTAAGCTTTATTGGTGATAATGGTCACGAATGTTGGTCCATTATTACATTTTAAGCATAAGCAGAGGACAAAAACTAGCCAGACAGTAATATGTGTACTGTGGACCAAGATTCTCAACCTTATTTTTTGTTGTTTGACCCTTAGAGCCAAGGTACGCATTCACCTTGAGAACCTCATCTCTGTTCCCAAATGCAATGACTTCAGTTTTCTCTTTGTTTAACTGAAGAAAGTTTTGGCACATCCAATTGTTAATTTCATCAATGCATTGGCAGAGGGTGTCAATAGGGCTGTAATCATTATGCAGTAAGGCTAAGTAGATCTGAGTGTCATCAGCATAGCTGTGGTAGGAGATTTGGTTCTTTCTCATTATTTGGCTAAGAGGGAGCATATAAAGGTTGAACAGGAGAGGTGCCAGAATTGCTTATTATAGATGTGCAGCCGACAAACGTGTGCTTCAATTATAAATAAATTAAAATCAAAACAAAAATGGTTAAATCATAATAAATGGCACAGCAGTGTTCAAACCGTTTTACTTAAGCAGAGTCATTAATTGGATTATCCAAATAAGATTATCTTAGGTCATAAGTGCTGCAGAACATATTAGCACAAGAAGATTCAACAGTAAATATTTTTGTTCAATTAATTAGTCTACGTACTTACATTCATGCTAAAGGCACTGTAAATAATTCAAGCATTTCAGTTCTTCAACAAAAGTTGTATGCTTTGTCCTATGACGAATACTTGAATTATTAAATTCAAAACCCCAAAACCATCTTCAAAAATAAATCAGTATAGACCATCCTTTACAATCGGGGCTACTGACAAAAATGTGGATGCTGAGGTTATTACACAACATTTGCAATAGACTTTAATTAAATCCCTCTTCACTTCCCCTAGAGCGGTTACAAATTAGAACTGAATTGTTGGACAGGTTAACTTAAAAGCCCAAAATCATTAAGTCCACCTCGACTGAAGCAGCAATTCACAAGGGATTCTCTCTGCTCTGAAATGTGAGATAGAAATGATGTCTGATTCCTCTGCATCACTGCATACACAGTTAGCTCTCCACTCAAACTCCTTCATTTACAGTCGCGCTTTAGCTTCGTTACACTCTACGATCCCGGCAGACAGAAGCTGCTCGATTTGCGCTTGATCAAACCCGTATTCCTTTAGCACTGACCGAGTGTGTTCTCCAATGAAGGGGTCACGGGATCCACAGGGCTCTGCTGGGGAACGGGACAGCACCGGTGCAGGACGGGGGCTAATTTCCCCCTGAGAGTCTTTGAGGAATGACCCTCTCGCCTGGTTATGAGAATGAGAAAGCACCTCATCCTGAGACAGAACAGGAGTGACACAGGCATCTGTCCCGTCGAAGATCTGACCCCATTCTGCTTGTGTTTTTGTGGCAAACACCTGTGTGAAAGTCTGCCTGAGCTGCGGCCAATCAGTAACGCTCATTTGTGAGGGCAGGTCAGTGTCGTCCAATCCCAAACCTGTGGTAAGAGAGAATCAGCGAGATGAAGAGGAGATTAAAAAGAGGAAGGGAATCAATAAAGGAGTTTAGAGGAGAGGGAGGGCTGTGGATCCTGAAGCCATTAGTACATAACACTGGCCCACAGTAGGGGACTTGTACAGAGACGTGCTGCTTTTGAGGGTCAAACCTGAATTGCAATTGAGTCATTATGATTTTATAGCAAGATCAAGAGGGCTGCGTTTGTACTTGGGTATAAGGTGAGTCCCTGGGCACATATTAATAAAGCATCCTGTGGATTCTTTCTAATCTTTCATATTATATCATGCCTTTGCAAAATCGACAACAGATCAAGGTGACCCAGAGAGACTTGTGGTTGAACATGTCAGCTATACTCATATGTCCTTCAGGCTACAGGTTTATTTCTGGAGAATTGAAAATGGCTGAATCAAATGTACACTGTGCACATGTACTCAACAATCACATAAGAGCATACATCACATAAGAACAAGGCAAGATATAAAAATGCAAATAATGAATACAAATTTAATTGAATAAATATAGATTGTAAATAAAAAGAAAATATAATAAAATGTCTCAATTAAAGGTGCTATATGTAAGTTTTTGACTCCTCTACAACAAAAATACCATAAGTTTTTTTTTTTAATTTAAGAAACAAGCTAAGTGAACATTCTTGTTTTTCTAAAAAAACAATGCTGAAGTCAGAAATTCTGTTTTGAAAATGTAAGCTACGTGCCAGAACAGTTGTCTTTGTTTTGGTTCTTTTAATCTGCCCAATACCACTTTAGCCAATTATATTTTAGCACCCCGGGTTGCCTTCATGGGAAACAGCATATTTCATTCATTCAGTCAGAAAGACTCTCAAAGCATGCGCCCGCGACTGAAATGCGACCTCCAGTGACAAGTAGCAGACTCCAAAATGAGAAGCAGATTCAGAGTAACACATGAGGTTATTAATTAGCAAATATTATAAATATTACAAGCGTGTAATATTTACATATAACCCTGGGTCCTAACAACAAGATTTGCAGTGATAAGCAATTTGACTGTTTGCACCAAACGAAACAGGACACTCAGACTATTAGCATTTAACACTGAATAAAGCAAATGAGGTGTACCTGAAGTAATCATTGTTCATCTGTGAGAAATAGAAGCCTCTAATATATCAATTTGAGGTGTTTGTTAGGACAAAAAGTCCTTTTTTAGTATGGAATTTTTTTATTCTATGGCGTGCCGTTGATTTTAGTTTGAAAACAATTCAAATCAGCCCTAAATCAGCCTTTAAACTGGCAACCTGATCTTGCCTGGACTCACCAGGGGAAAAGTTGAATGAAAATGTGTTTTGATCCAAGCGTGCAATACCTAGATCAACCACTGGGTGTCAAACTTACATACTGTTAAGATAACTTAACATTAACTTACATTTAACATTAACTTAACATAACTTAACATTAACTTACATACTGCCTTTAAAATGTTAAATGTAAAAAGTTTAAAGAAAGATTATAAAAGAAGCCTCTTCTGATCAGCAGAGCTACGTTTATTTAATCAAATAAACCAAAAAACAGTTATGCTGTGATTTTTTATTTCATTCATTTTCTTTACGGCCTAGTTCCTTTATGAATCCAGGGTCGCCACAGTGGAACAAACTGCCAACTTATCCAGCATATGTTTTACACAGCGGATGCCCTTCAAGCTGCAACCCAACACTGGGAAACACCCATAAACACTCTTTCACGCTCATACACTATGGACAATTTAGCTTACCCAATTAACTTATACCAGACATCTTTGAAATAGTGGGGGAAACCGGAGCACCAGGAGAAAACCCACGCAAACACTAGAAACGCAAACTGACTCAGCTGAGGCTCGAACCAGCGATCTACTTGCTGTGAGGCGATTGTGCTACCCACTGCACCACCGTGATGCCTTTTTTATTTTATTGCAATTTAATTTACTGCTCTAAAGCAAAGCAATACTTCAAAGATATTTACTCAGTTTCATTTAAAATCAGCAAAATAAATGCAAAAATAAGATGAGAGTAAATTATAATGAAAGAAAAAACAAAAAAAAGAAAACAGAATAACGAATAATAAAATAAAAAGAACAGAATTGTGAATATTAGAAAAGTGTAAATAGCACAATCAATAGACAACAAGAAAATACATAATTGAAATAAAAACATACATAAAATTTTTCATTATATGAACAAAAAATGTGATAAAGAAAAAATAAAAGCTGTAAATAAAAGAATAATGAGATTATGAAAATAAATTATTTTTAAAAAATAATATATAGAATTAAATTGCCTGAGGAATACGTCTTAACTAGATCAATTCGCACTTCTTTTACAAATGCAATTCCCACATTAAGACACAAAAGTGAGCAGCTTTAGTGAGCATATTGCAGCAGAGATTAACACAAAAAACGATTTAAGCAGTTAATCAGTCACTGCAGTTGCAAGGTGCATTATTGGCATCATGAATTAGACACTACATGGCATGTTATACAGTTAAGATGTCAAAAACCCTTCCTAAAATTGTCTACACATATGTCAGTTGATTCTAAAACATCTGTGATGACACCAATATTTTCAAATGGGAAAAGGTGACAGAGCTTTAGCAAGTTGAATTCACATAAATTGTTCCTAAAATACATTGCAATTATAATACGCTACATTGATCTCTGTATAGTAATTGGCAGAATATGCCAATATTGAAGTAAAAACACAATGGACTAACCTTGAATAAGCTGTTGATAAAACTGAGGCTCAATAGCCCCGACCGCCACATATTTTCCATCAGAAGTGCGGTATGTATCATAGAAAGGAGCGCCGCTATCCAGCAAGTTTTCCCCACGAGGACGATTCCACAGGCCAATGCTGCGGGACTTCCACATGAATGAGCCCACATATGCTGCACCTTCCACCTGCAAATAAAGACAGATGTTCATAGAAAAACAAACAAAACATAACACATTTGATGGCATAAATCAAAGAATCACCCATTTGGTAGGTCATTTTCTTTGGTTCCAGAGTTGCTGAGCAAAATAGCGTGGTATGGAATCAAAGTAATCCATGCGTAAGGTCATAATGTGATGAATTGCTTGCTACAATTGTGTGGAGTTATACATATTCATTGAGACACATAAAGCACTGTGCGTTTATATACTGTACATGCAGTTATTAAATACATGAACGCATTAAATATTATTGACTGGCATGATGGGAAGATTTAAGCAGCTGGATAATACAACACAGCATGCAGTTCTGCAGAGGATTGCAGTAGTTTGACTTCCATATGAGGGCACAGCACGACTCTAAAGAGGCTAAATCATCAGTAATAAAACTGCCTTTAATCTTTTATGCATAATAAAGCTTGATGTCGTATGAAAACATAATGTGACCTTGAGGGATTGCTTGCTTAGTCCAAAAAGAGAATATATTGCATCTAAACTGATTGTTAATCATAACTAGACCCACATGGAATCTGCTCCCTGAGAAATCTGCAGCTCTTTTAGTCTGTTATTGAGTCAACTTATGTAAATGTGTGCAAATATATATTTGTTCAGTTTTTATATTCATTTCAGCAATATTTTTGAAAAATATGCAAATGTTTAGATGATCTATGTGCAGTGTAATTAGTAATATTTGCTGTTTTTAGAAGATATATGAGAGACTTTGTTTACCAAACTATTAGTTTTAATTGGATTTGCATTCATTCATTTTCTTTTTGGCTTAGTCCCTTTATTAATCTGGGGTCGCCACAGTGGAATGAACCACCAACTTATCCAGTATATGTTTTACGCAGCGGATGCCCTCTTAGTTGCAACCCATCACTGGAAAACACATACACTACAGACAGCTTAATTCACCTATAGCGCATGTCTTTAGACTGTTGGATTTAAATTGTAAACTTTAAATAAATGCTGCAAAGTTTTGTTTTTAATTTAATGTGTCATGATTTTAGGTATTATCTTCTCGAAATCGTTCCACGTAAATCTGAAGATTCTTCAAAAAAATCTGTGCAGAAATAGCAAGAAATGTCTGCAAATTCGGACCCTGATTATAACTGATAAAGCTTTTTTAAGAGACTACTGGAATTTTCGGCTTCTCTGGAATTGCAATTTCTAAATGTGCTTGTGTAAAAGAGACTTTTGCTATGCTCTTCAAACTACTGATGGCATTTGTTCTAAACCAAAAGTAACCATGACTAAGTTAACATGGACATCAGTAATCAAATTATTTGCCTTAATCTGAATAAGACAATGATATGATTTGGGTGTAAGCATCTCTCACACTGGGCCCGGGCCATCAGGCGGTCCTTATCGTTGAGCCTTGCTATTGGATTAAGTAAATTATTGGAATCCAGTTCAGATTTTAGTAAAAATCTTACAACAATTTATAAAAAGAAAAATTATTTTTAACAAAATCTCAATTTTTCTTTCTATTGTAAAGAGTTTGTGTTGCACATTTCAGCACTTATTATGTGAACCAGTCACAATACAGTCTTAAAGATTGTTATGAAAGGATGGGGCAATTTAGTGGAAGCAATATGCTGTTAATACCACATGCAATTGGGACATTACTCAAAGGGACAGCCTTAAAAAACACACTGTTTACTGTTGAGAAAGGTTGAAAAGGGCCAAGAGAAACTAGAATATGACACAATTAAACTAAATAGCATAAGTAAACTTATGTAAAATATGCATGATGTGACCCGTTTAAAGATATACAGAACTCAGATCCTAAATTAAATCACGTCTGAATGACAAAATTGGCATCAAGGCTAAGGTTAACGGAGTGTGTCAAATCTTCCAGTATCATTTTCACACATGAAAAATAACGTTTGTAGGTCAAATCCTCCAAAGTGATGCATAAAAATAAGTATACTTGCATTTCAAAGAGTGTGACCTTGCAAGATTGACTTGGATGTGGATGTGATTTATATATTTTCCCACTGAAGCCATCCTTCAAAGAGATGTTGACAATCTGGGTTTCTATTTGAGCACATGATTGGCCTGACCACCAAAAAGTCACTCTCCCTGAAGATCCCTTCCACTTGGCCTACTACTGAATGTGTTATTATGTGGTGCCTCAGAAATCTATTTCTACACTGACACCTTTCATACTGTTCAGAGATGGACAGCAATGTGTCAGACAAGGTTATTTTAATAAACTAAAACTAAACTTCTCACCTTTCTTGTTTGGTTCAGTTGAATTTCGCCTTTTGGTGCGGATATTTTGGGCAGGTGTGAATACAGCAATCGCACTCCAAACAAATAACAATACAGTTCGTTTAAGGTGTGAATGTGATCTGACACATTTGAAGAAAACCCTGTGACTTATCTGGAACAAGTAGTTGGAGTTGTGTACCCGTGGTGTCTGCCATTGCCAAGCAACCATGAGTTGCACTCTCTAATGAAAAAAAAACCCAGTCTATGCACGAGTTTCAGCTCTGATGTAAGTTACATTTATGAATTTAAAAAGCCATTGCGTTATTTGTCTGCTAAAATAATAGCCTAACGTTATAACTGAAATGTGTATAATCCATATCTTTAAACGGCACAGCTCTCTAGCTGTATGAATCTACATTTAGGGTGCTTTCACACTTGGTTCAATTGCCTGGACCAAATCCAAGTTCGAATGTCCCCCCCTTGCCACCTTCTCAGCTGGTTTGTGTTCACACTAGGGATGCCACGGTTCTCAATATAATATTGAACTGTTCGATACGACCTCCATGGTTTAATATGCGCTTGTGAATTGTGGTTTTCTCAGTTTTGGGTTTAAATAATTTATGTGCGTTTTATATCTCCCCGAATTGACTGTGTGTGCCTGTAAGATCATGAGCTGAGATGAGGAAACTCCTCCCCGTGAGTAAATATCCAATCACTATGCTTTAAAGTTAGGGGGCGCTTAACCATCATTCCACACTTTTAGATTGCGAGGAGCGGTGAAGTGAGGCTGAGGCAACAGTACAAGGAAGCGCCGGCAAAGTGAGGCAACAGTACGAGGAAGCGCCGCCGTCTTTCAAATCTGCTGTGTGAGAACATTTCGGTTTTGCCGGTAAGTATAATGCCAATTAAAAGAAATATGGTGAACAAAAATAACTGTGTGCTAGGCTTGGGTGGTATTACGGTATTATGGTATACCACGGGATCTAAAAATAAAAACAGTGTCAGTTTCAATACCGTTATACCGTCATAAAATATTAAATATCCTTTATTTAATGCCTACAAAAACGTATGTGTGGTTGACATCTTGGGACAGTGTGGAGGAGAGAGAGAGAGGGAGAGGTATTGTGACGTGACGAGTCGCGCTCCAAAGTGGCTTGCAGTTTGGCAGTATTTCCGGTTTCGACTGAACAGAAGGGAGACGTGGTTAATATGAACGAGAGGTCTGCATTAGAGCTGAAGATCTTTGCCCGAACCCGGCGAGACCCGAAAAAAATCCAAATCCCTGCATTAAAATCCATCCCTGCAAAGGTGAAACAAATGATGACGAAGTAAAAAAGTTTATTTTGAAGGCGGTCAAGCCAGTCACTAGTTCAGAAGGAGCGTTCATTCCAGCCAGGTATTTTGGCGGTCGCTCATACACTGTGTATTACGGTAGAGCCCTAAACCGCAAGCTGACAGGTAAAAAGACGAGGCCACTCACTACAGTGAAACTGCTGTCATGGAAAATTAAATGGATTTTCCTGACGGGTAGAAGATGAACAAACAATCCTACCCAAAACTTGCAAAATCAGCCGGATCAGAACTCTGCATCTCGGCCTGTAGCCGCAGGAAAGGGTGTTCAGTTCTGCTGGACGCACCATGAGTGCAAGACTGCGCTAAAGCCAGTGGATTTAATAAAGTTCCTCCACAAACACACGTAGCCTAATCTTGGTGAGTAAAGGGTTTTTACATTATAAATACATATTAATTAAACCATATAATCATAATGTAGACAGAGTATACAGGTTAATGGTGGCATTATTCTTTTAATATTCAGTTTCACTGCCGCCTTAATGCCAGATTGTGAAGAGAAGTGGAGAAACAAATCTTGCACAGCCTTTATCTTAATTTCGCTATTGCCAAAATACCCCTCATCATTTAGAATTTATTTTAATTTGATTTATTAAGCAAGATTTCTTTTCATTGGTGTGTTGGCCAATTTAAAGGCTAAGTGTATGTATTCAGGCCTATATAGAGTGCTGAGATGTTACAATGTTACAGAGGACTTATTCTATTTCTTTGTTCCATCTTTCAAGTGGCCTATAGTCTACGTTTGTTACGAATAAATGATGTTAAAACATTTAAATGACTCATTCTTGAAAAAATGCATTAGAGCTGTGTGCATGAGCACATTTGAATAATGTCAGGCTGTAAACGGGTTCGGGCTTTATAAAGCTGTCAATCAAAATGTACCTCTCAGACTCGGGACCTATCGTGCCTAATTTTTATGGCCCGATAACAGCTCTCTGCTTTCCCGCTGCTGTACCGCTGGAGCCGGCCAGATTTCTTATGGTGTGGGAGTAAATTTCTGGATAAATCGCGGGAGAGATGTGTGTGTGTGTGTGTGTGTGTGTGTGTTTGTGTAAGAGAGAGAGAGAGAGAGAGAGGTGCTGTGCGTCGCTTGGGGCTCTCTCTCTCTCTCTCTCTCTCTCTCTCTCTCTCTCTCTTTCTGACCACGAGCCTAAGGTCGCATAGAAGGTATTTAGTTTCTGAATGGTTTAGGCTCAAGCCAACAGTTTGGTGATGCTGTCCTTACGTCATAATTTTTTTATTACGCCAGTAATACCGCATACCGGGGTAAAATACGAGGCGGTTTGACGGTATCAAAATTTGGATACCGCCCAAGCCTACTGTGTGCAAGCATTGTTTTACACGTATAACCATGACTGCACATCTGCAGCGCCATCACCCAGTAATATCACTGTCTGAAGGCA